CTCCGGTTTATCTGCATGCAAACGTAGGACTGCCCAGTCCACCAGTCACTGCCTCGCCCACCTGGTCCTCTGGTCATCGTCTTGCTGTGAGTCCTCCCCTCCCCTCCTACCGGTCTAGATGAATGTTTCTCTTTTACCTCCTTGGTAGTCAGCCTTCCTTCCATACAGTTCAACTTTCTGGCACTTCTGGTTGTGTTTTGTTTTTAAATTTGTTGTTGTCCTTCTTTTGGTTGTGGGAGGAGGCCAAGTATGCCACCTACGCTTCCATCTTGGCTGGAAGTCTCTCTTTAAAATAACTACACTGAAGCTGGTAGCATAAACTGGCTTAACTACCTTGGAAGACAGTGATTTCATCCAGAAAAGTTGCAAATACACACTACTTAAAGACCAGGAATTTCTTTCTCAGTGTATATTCAGAGAAACTTTTACACAGGATGGTTTTATAAGAAGTTTTCACAATAACTCCAACTGGAAACAAGCTCAATGTCCATCAACAGTATTTCCCAATAATTTGTGACATGATGGAGTATTTCATGGGAGGAAGGCAGGCAGGCAGAGAGAGAGAGAGAGAGAGAGAGAGAGAGAGAGGGAGGGAGAGAGGGAGGGAGGGAGGGAGGAAGGGAGGAAGGAAAAGAAAGAAAGAAAGAAAGAAAGAAAGAAAGAAAGAAAGAAAGAAAGAAAGAAAGAAAGAAAGAAAAGGAAGAAAGAAAGAGAAAGAAAGAAAGAAAAAAGAAAGAAAAGAGAAGGAAGGAAGGAAGGAAGGAAGGAAGGAAGGAAGGAAGGAAGGAAAGAAGGAAGGAAGGAAGGAAGGAAGGAAGGAAAGAGGTGAGGGAGAGGGGGGGAGGGAGGGAAAGAAAAGGGAAAAGGGAAGGGAAGGGAAGGGAAGGGAAGGGAAGGGAAGGGAAGGGAAGGGAAGGGAAGGGAAGGGAGGGGAAGGGAAGGGAAGGGAAGGGAAGGGAAGAGAAAACACTAACTTAGCTATCGGCAACATGGATGAATTCCAGTGCTGAGCAAATGAAGTAAAGCACAAAAGACTACATACAGTGTGACTCAATCCATACAAAATTTAAGCAGAAGCACAGATAAGTTACAATGTTTAAGAATGTGCATATAAGTGGTAAACTAAATAAAAGCAAGGGACTAATAATGATAAAAACTCAGGATATTGGGTGGAAAAGATGGTTGTGATTGCACCAGGAATGTATTCACTCTTTATCCCTTAAGCCTTTGGCCAAGCATCCATTCACCATGAGGTGATTTAGTGTAATCAATATATGTATGAACTAAATAATGAATAGTTCAAATTTAAACTCAGTTGCTCTAATTAAATAATTTAAAATCATTCAGATATTACCCAGCTAAATGAGTATTACAACCAGATGTTTTACATTTCTTCCAATGAAAACAAAAAAATTATACCTATTATCTGATTTCAGCTGAAAATGTTAATGGTGGCATCATATGCTGGTAAAAGATTTTATAACAGTTTTTCTTCTAACACTTTAGAATACAAGAATCAATTTCATATTTTTTATGCCTCGGGCCCGAAGCTCTCTGAAGTTGTTTTAGATAGAATACTGGTAATTGACAGAAAAAAATCATATTACCGTATGTCATCTGTGAACTCTGCTTTTTTCATGAAAATCTCTTAAGTGATAACTCATGTAACTCTAGAATTTTTAAAAAACACAATGAAAAAAAACCCTTTAGAGAAAAATCACTTTAATAAATAGGCAACATTTCTGTGCTTAATTAAACTGAAACAATAATATATTAGTCCTCTGGTTCTATAATAGCCCTTCCCAAGGGGAAGGGTTTCAGTCCACTGTTATTACCCCAGGCAGATTTTTTAGGTGATTGTATGTATGAGCATGGCCTCAACTAACTTGAATAATGACAATCCCAATATCAATCAAAAGACAGAATTATCTTTTCTGAGTTCCAGCTGATTCATCCAATGACTTAGTGAATATTTGGTTATCTGAGAGGGATATATAATACAAAGTAAATAAGTCCAAAACTTACCCTCTTTTCTCTCAACTTAGTCCTTTTCTTGTATTTCTTCTTGAAGTTAACAGTTAATACAATCTACTCAATTTCCTAATGCAAACACCTGAGTCCATCTTTCCTAAACATCCAATAAATTGCCAAGTATTTTTTTATTCTACTTTAATATTTCTTGAATCTCAGTTTACTCTTAAGTCTCACTATCACCACTTAAGCTCAGGTTTTAATCATTTTGTGCCTATATTCCTGCAACCTGGTCTCCTTTGTTATAGATGGAAACTCCTCTTCACTGAAATCATTTTCCTCACTCATCACAGAAAAACCTAAAAATTTTTACAAGCTGATTATGTTACTTTCTATCTTCCAATCCCATGACAGCACCCTGTAGTTTTCAGCATAAAATCTAAATTTCTTAACATGGCATAAAGACCCAATGTCAGCCCTATAGCTCAACAGTTTATTTTACACCCTATGATCTGTTGCCATATTATCTAATTTTTATATCCTTTCACAGAATATAGAACTGTATAAAACTCCAATTTCCTGAGTTCTTGGAAAGACTGCTGATTCTCTTTTCCAAATGGCCAAGTGCTCTTCCTATGTCTTTCAAGAACATTTTGTTTACCTTAATCACTTAACATTATTGTAAATAGACAGAACACCTTTTAGAGAGATGGATTTCAACTCTATATCCTCTATATTAATACTGCTTAATTATATATATATATATATATTTACTGATTATTCAAAGTTTCTACAGTTTAAGTTTTTCTAACGTATAATATATATTTCAAGAAGTATGCTCACATTATTCTGACCCTTTAAACCCTTGACTATATTTCTGGAAGTAATGGATCTCAAACAATTAATTTTAAGAAATTCACCTTTATTTATTCCCATTTTCTCTTTTGAAAAATGAGAGATTTGAATTAGATCAAAGGTTCCTCCCAGCCAATTATTTTGTGAATTTATATGAAGTTTAAATAAGTGTCTTGACACTCCTTTCTTTTAAATACTAGAATATAATCATGGCATTAATTTCTGATGACTACACATAACACCTGACATATTGAAACTAATAGTATATAATAAAGAACAATGAGCTCAACTAATTTAAAAATTAAATAAACAAATTAAGGAATTATTTATTAAGACGGAACTTATTGAACTTGGTTTTGAAAAGGTGACCAAATCAAACTTAATGATTTGTTGAGAGCTTTACATGTTATTTTAAAGAACTTAATTCAGTATTGTTTACCCTTGACTATTGTTACTCAAATTATTCAAATTATATTTATCAAAAAGGTAGTAAGTTCAGTTATTGTTAAGTTGTAATTTTTTTAAATTATAGGCGCTTTTACGATGTTCCCCATTTTCCCTCTCTTTGCCCTCTGCCACCAAGGCCCTGCCCCTGGCCTTTACCACATTGTCTGTGCCATTGGGCTATGCATATACTGAGGTCTGTCTAGTAAGTACCCAGCCACATAACATGAAAAATAGAAACATTTATTGAAGAAGATACAAGATACAAGAAACACTGTATATAGGAGAAGGATGTCTCACTCCCCTTCTAAGTAGGCAATGTGGGATGTTCTCTCAATCACCATCAGCTGCCCTGTCGTATTTTCCTGAAACTCATTGATGGTCTGAAATCTCTTCCCTTTCAAAGGTGATTTTAGTTTTGGAAAAAGCCAGAAGTTTCAGGGTGCCAAATCTGGGCTGTAGGGGGGCTGAGTCAGCTGGGTGATTTGATGTTTTGCCAAAAATATTCTGTAGGAGACGTGTTGTATGAGTGGGCATGTTGGCGTGATGAAGCTGCCAATCTCCAATTGCTTATAGCTGTGGCCTTCTGAATAATCCAATAGTTCCCGTGAAGGAATGTTCAGGCTTAATGCAAAATTTGATGCAGATTCATTGCTCTATTTGCTCAGTCATTTTGAATGCGACAGTGATAGAGTACACATGCCACTCAATGGTATCCACTGCCCTCACTGACTAGTACATTGAAGTTGTCAATGTTCACGCATGAACATTCTAGTCCACTCTGCTTGGCTGCCAGGTTACTTTGAAGTCGCACAAACCATTCTCCTTACATTAATAATGGCTGGACTTTTTCTGGACAGGCCTTGTCATATGCATATATGTATTTTGGCTAAATTACTTTTAAACAAGGGCCATATGTTATGTTAGAAGACAAATAGTCCATAGGATTTAGTAAAATGTTAGAGACAGACAGAAGATTGTAGTAATGCTTTAATTTTCAAAAGGTCAGTTTTAAATTTTATACTGTATTGTACATTTTTGTACTGTACTGTAAATTTTAAATTGACATATTGTTTTCAAAGGAACCAGAAAATATTTACTAGGAGACTGATATTATTTGTAACCGCTGCAAGCTCATAGGGAAAAGAAATAAAACAAGATAAAAAGATAATAATACATTGTGCATGCTAATGCTTACATGCAGTGTTTTCCTCAGTATATTTTCAATGAATTTCACAGGAAAGGGTTCCTTTTTGATTCTCTTAACATTTTTCTTAGAAACGCATTGATAATGATAGATGAAATCTGATGGTGGTTATCTGATACACACACACACACACACACACACACACACACATATATATATACACAACATAGAGTCTGGCATAAATAATGCCCCGTTTTTACTAAAAAAATCATATAAAATCATAAGCAAACAATTCTGTAACATAACAACATCACACTCAAGCTTACCATATGACATATTAGGTGAAGTGTTCAAATTAAAACACCCTTATTATTACCGTACCAACCACACTCAAGCAGGCGCTACTTTTGCTGGACCCTCTGCGTGCATGTGTGTGTGTGTATAAAATTCAAATAAGATAACTGGGAATTAAATGCTATACTAACATACCTAAATATTTAATAGCATAAAGAATAAGATATTATTCTCCCACTTCCCACCAAGATTCTAAATCTTTGTAGAGGTGAAAAATGCCATACTATACCTTGATTTCTTCTATTTCATCTGGTACTATCTTGTATGCTGATATCGTCCCACCCAACCTGAAATCAGAAGAAAATATTCTCAAAACTGGCAATAGTGTATAAAAAAATAGGACTATTTCTGCCAGTAGCATCACAGTGCCACCAATAATCCCTAGTGTCCACCCCAATAATTGTGGAGGAAAAAAACATTTTGTGATTACTTTTTCCATATTGTAGTTAAAAGGAAGCAGATAGCAAACGAGGAAAGACATTAAGTTAGATTTTTAACCAAAACTAAACTTTTATAATTGATGGTTTCAATGAATCTGAAATGGCCACTTTTACAGATGGATTCTGTCACTAAGATATATCAAAACAAAACAGCAGATATGGTGTTTGCTTTTTTTTGTTGTTTTGTTTTTTATAACAGACTTTATTTTTTACATAGTTTTAGGTTTACAGATAAATTAAGCAATAAGTAAAGACATTTATTTCACAGATCCCCCACCGCAGTTTTCTCTTTTAAAATTATGCATTAGTGTGGTATATTTGTCACAACTGATAAAACAATACTAATTTTGCTTCCTTTAAAAAACAACTTAAACAAGGATTCAGAGATCTGTGTACTCAGCACTGTGCAATAAAAAGAGATGATGTGAGGGTTACAAATTTAATGTTTAACATATGATCTTTGCCTTGAGGCAGTAATGTCATGACATGTCATGTTCATGTGTTTGAAATATTTTTGGAAAGCAACTAAGGTTTATGTAATACCTAACACTTTCTAGGCATGTTATATATTATTTAATTTAACTGTTATAACTGTCTCCATTGTAAAAAATGGGGAAATTGAGACACAGAAATATTCAGTAATTTTCTTAAATAACTGAAGGATTTAGTAAGTAAAGGTGCTAAATAACATATACATTAAGTGTCAAATGCATACCAGACTTTAAATACTTAGTATAAAAAAGGTTAATTTTAAAATAGTGACTACATGTTAAAATAACATTGTGGATATATTGAGTTAAATAAGCTATACTGTATTAAAATTAACTTCATTGACTTCTTTTTCATTTTTAAAATGTGCTACTAAAATTTTTAAACTATATATAAGGCTTGCATTTGTGGCTACTATCATATCTCTCTCAGACCAGTGCTCTAGGTTCTTAAAACTCCTAGATACCGACTTAACACTGCTCTAATTCAGTGCTTAAAAAGGAACTTTCTGATTATTTGACTTTATAAGTACTAGATATCAAAAAAGGAGTATCATAAGTAAGGAACTTATATATTACAGATACTTTAGGATACATCCTGTCTCATATAAATTAATAAATGACACTCTTGTTTCCATTAGAAAATAACAATCTAACCAAATTATCTTTATTGAAAACTCTACATTTAAACTCTTTAATGTTACCATTTATTCTTGCTAATGGAACTAGTGTTCAGATTTTTTTTGAGATTTCACATACTTAAAGTGTCATGACTGAATGATAAAAAACACTAATGAAATCTAACTTAATTCATATCATATAATACCTTACTGACATACTGACATACTATTACTGACATACTAAATAAGACCATAGTAAAATAACTAGAGCAGTACTAGATGTTACTAAAATGACAAATTATATAACTCTGTAGGAGGTTTAAAATAGCCATTTAAAAATCATTTTCATTGTCAGTTATTAAACCTATACAATTAGGAGGTGAGATTGTTGGGGTATTAATAAACACATTAGAGCAAAAACACTACTGAAAAATTAAGGACTTCAATTTATAGCCTTGCAAATAATGAGTGCATTGTTTTACTCACTGGGTTCATAGTATGTAATGGATGCAATCGAGAGAATGAGAAAGCTAAGAAATCAAAGTTTTGTAGGGAAGCAGATGAATACACAAATATCTGTAATATAGTACACTAGAGGCTGAAAGTTTGAAATTATTTCAAAAAAAATTTTTAAAGCACCTATCATTGTAAAGTAGACTGGCTATAATATAAGCAGTCCATAATGCCTATTACATAAATGGCATAGATTACAGAAATATTTCAATTCATTAGTACAATAATGATTCAAGGATGCCATGATATTAATGTTTGATTTACAGAAGAAAAATAAAAAGAAATTTGCTATGATGAACTTCAATTTTACTCCACAAACAACTTATTTTTCTGATAAATGCTGAGTAACACTACCTCAAATATTGCCTTTCTTGGAATCTCAACCTGGGGAAGGTAAACTTCCAGATTAGTATTCCCACATCAACTTCAAACCAATGATAATGGTTTCAACTGTTAAGGTAGGTAAGTGGGGATGGGGAGTAACACAAGAAGGTGGTAGAGGGGGGATAAATGGTGATGGAAGAAGACTTGATGGGATGGTGAACACATAATGTAATATACAGATGACATATTACAGAATTACACACCTTAAACCTATATAGTTTTTAAAGCAATGTCACTCCAATAAATACAATAAATAAAACTTAAAAAAAAAAAGGCAGGCAGCCCCAACTGGTGTGGCACAGTTGATTTAGGGTCATCTTATAAACTGAAAGGTCATGAGTTTGATTCTTAGTCAGGGCACACACCTAGGTTGAGGGGTTTGGTCTCTGTTCAGGATGCAACTGACTGATATCTCCCTCTCTCATCAATGTTTCTCTCCCTCTTCTCTCCTTCCCTTCCCCTCTCTCTAAAATACATAAGCATGCCCTCAGGAGAGGCTAAAAAAATGTCAGATAAAATATATGATTTAATGTATCGCTATTTGTTTTAAAATGAATGTATGACATAAATATGCATATGAATAAAACATTGACAAAATAGGGTAATCATATGATTGAATAACTAAAAACACAAGAAAGTTGGAGTGTGTCTGTACTACACCGAACAAAGAAATGAGAAAGGAGGTTAAAAACCTCCTTTCCTGATAAAAACACCAGGAAAAAATTCAGTAAAAAGAAACTACCTAGGATTCCAAGATGGCTGCAGAGTAGATGGAAGCTAAACTCACCTGTTCCCAGTGCCAAAATGTTTTACAGGTAAATTATAGAGCAATCAACCTGAATAACCAACTGAATACTAGCTGAACTAAAATACAGTCATACCTGGGTACTTGTCAGCTTCAGAACTCATTAAACCCTGTACTCATTGCATTTTGACAAAAAAAAAAATGTTTCAGCACTTGGCACTTGCTCAGGACTCATCACACTTGCTAGAACTTGTATGAGTCACAATGCTGCTGCGCAAGAGAAAGTGCTTTATCACTTGTCATGTTAGGTACTCAGCAGTTTTGGCACTCTTCACAAGTTCTGAAATGAATTAACAATGAGTCCCGAGGTACCACTGTACTGCAACCAAGGATTTACAGAACCCACATAAAGACTGGTAAGAAGGACAAAGATTTAGAAAGGGCTGGCCCCTGCACCTACGTGTGGCGGCTGAAAAGCTGGAGGGATATCTTGGCTGCAAAACTCCTGCCCTCCCCCACCACCCAGGAATGTGGAATCTCTACCCCAGGCAGGGATCCTCAACACAGAGCAACAGAGATGGGAAGAGGAGCCCACTAGCATCTGATTATGATAATCAGTGCAGTCCATCTGAGAAAGAAGAGAGTCTGCTAGAGACCCAGAACCCACCATCCCAGGGTTGAACACTCTAATCATTATTGCACAAGCATGGGGAGTGCAGTGCCTGGTTCTACAACTATAGGTGACACCACTCTGCTGTGCTTGGGTACTGCAGAGGGGACTGCTGACTGCACCCAGCAGGGATCTTTGGGGTGCTCTTTTTCTGGAGAAGCTCTTGGCAGGGACTCAGGCAGCAAATGAACTGTGTAGCTTTGGATAGGAGACCAATCTTCCCTACCTCAAGCACCCTGTTAAATCAACCTGGCCTGCCCTTCCACTCTGTGACCCCACCCTGCTGAGTTTAGTTGTTAGTTGGGGTAAGAGTGCCATGCAGAGCTGGGTCTTTCACAGAGTATATCTCCTGAGGAAGCTTTTAACTGGGAATCTCTCAGGTGGATAGTGGGTTATGTGGCTAGATCCTGAGGGGGTGGGGGGCATTCCTACCTCTCCCGTGAGCTCTGACTGTGCTATACTTGGAAGAGGAAGAAGTGACCACCTCACTCCTACAGGCTTGCTGGCACCACCCCCAATGGGAGATTGGATTTGTCCTTCCAAATCCCAGTGGCCACACTCTGCTGAGCTCAGTTCTGCAGAGGCAATGGGGTACTGCTCAGATCTGGGTCATTCAGAGTGTGTCTCCCTTGGAGGCTATTGTCTGGGACCAGGAAAAAGTAATTGTCCCCCTCCTGCGGGTTTGCCCAGCGCACCCTAATGGGAGACTCTTTAGATATGTCCTCCCCAGTCCTGGTAGATCTGCCCTGCTGAGCTTGCTCCAGCAGAGGGGATGGCTGGCTGCACCCAACCTGAAACTGCAGCAGGCTCTTCCTGGAAGAGCTAGGGTTGGAGTCTCTGGCAGAGACTGAGTAGTTAGGCTCTGGGGCACTTTCCCCTCATTGAGTGCCTGACTGCATGGCTCCCAAGTAGGGGAGCCATTAGCCCTGATCTCCTGACCCTAGTCACCCAACCCTACTAAGCCCTCAAACAGAAGGGTCTGTGGGTCACAGCCAGCCTAAGCCAACTCTGCATTCTTTATTTGGAAGGCTCTGGAGGAAGACCAGGTAACCTTGGCGGGGGGCCAGGGGACAGAGTAGCTGGCAGATGGAAGTGGACCTCGGGGGGCCTCAGACCTTTTATAGATCTGCCCCAGCTCTAATCTAGAAGAAGCCAACCCTTGTACACATATCAGCATCTCCCCCACACATCCAGGCCCAGTAGATGCAGCCGCAAACAGTGAATAGGGTGGTAGCTCCAGATGGGTAGCCCAAGGCCAGTTAAACACAATGTCTGACATTGACCTGTATCTGAATCCAGCCAAAGTGGACCCAGAGCCAACACAACTAGTTATGGCCTCATACCATACCAGAGCTTGACCCAGCTAGCCGCACAAATGGCACACCAAAAGGGAGATTCTGGCAGGCACCAGATGATGCTGGGAACAA